TGATAAAATTGAAGACATCATCAGAGAACTATTAGTAGATTTAGTAACTGATTGGAATTTAGTACTTAAATCTAGTTGTTAATAATTTAACTTCTAATTTTATTTACAATTGTTACAAGGACATATGTTGGCCGGTATAATTGATGATTAACAATATGCACTAATTATTGACATTGGTAAATAATTATTCATAAAGATTGTCATGGAAATTATGTCATAGAAAGGTGCAAAGTTATTGATTATTTTTAATGTGCTTTCGTTGCAATGAGTAAATTGTGAATGTAATTGAGATAAAGACCCTGATCAGATTAAATGAATGTAATGTAAATAATTGTTTTGCAGATCGAGGTGTTCAGACAGTTAAAGGACGAGCACGGCATGAACATGTCGCACAACTTCCGACCCACGCAACCTCTGTACGGCCGACTGATCAGGATGAGCATGCTGGAGCACGTGGATTCCAGCAGTGATTTGGGAATCGGAGGAGGCGGTGGCAGCAGCGGCGGCGCCCCGTGCAATTACGGCACTATTTTTAGCCTGGCTCTGATCCTCGTTTCGGCGCTCCAGTTTATATATGTATAATGCTTTTCCCACCCACCGTCATCATGCTGTAATTTCTATCTACATTACTACCTTATACAAGTCCACTAGGCGAAGAATATCTTTGTATTTTAATTGTGATATACTTAGGAGAATATATTTTATATAATAATAAACCAATAACCATTTCTCGCGTTTTATATGAATCGAGGGAGGCGGCGGTGGCGGCGGCTGCGGAGACGGTGAAATTTACGAGCGCCACCGCGATTCCAGGGAGTCCAACTAAGTCAATATATAATAATCCCGTGCAACAGATGTGCTGCCCGCGATACTCCCACGCATAGAGGTCCCTGCACGGTAATTCCACAGCCGCCGCCACCAAAGCCCTCCCTCCCTCAGGGCTGGGCCTCCAACCCCCGGTTTATTTCACGAAAATAACAACAAATTCCAAATATGGATCCGAACTCGGGGCCGTCTCAAGTGATCTTCGATGAGGTCCTCTACCAGCCGGCGCCTCCGTCCGTGCAACTGCAGATGCAGCAGCAGCACGTCGATCTATTGATGAACTCCGAGGAGGACTTCTCCGACTCAGATTTTGAGGTGGACATCGTGGTGGACAGCGATCACGACAGCAGATCGGAGCAATCGGAAGACGACGATGTACCAACGGCAGTAAGTAGCGAGGAGGGTTATTACAGTAATACGCAGTGGTCGGAGGAGCAGCCGGTGGTCGTGACGAAACCCCACATCGATTTCGAGCTGAAACTGCCCGGGCTTCGGCCGCCGGCGAAAGAGCTCGGTCTCTACATAGAACCGATCACCGCTTGGGAGTTCATCTTCGGTGATGCCATGCTCAAGAACATCATATTGTACACCAACAGGAAACTGGCGAAGACCAGGAAGAAATCGATGAATCCGAACAGGACGGAGCTGCGGGAGTGCTGCGAGTTCGAGGTACGCGCTTTCCTGGGACTTCTGCTTTACTCGGGCGTTTTCCGATCGAACCACGAGAACATATCCGCGTTATTCGCAACCGATGGGACTGGTCGCGATATTTTCCGAGCCGTCCTCTCGGCAAAGAGATTCCAAGTGTTACTCCTCTGTTTGCGGTTCGATAATTGCGAGGATCGCGAGCAGAGGAAATTGATGGATAAAGGAACCGCAGTCAGCGAGTTGATAAAGAGCTTCAACGACAACTCACAAGCGGTTTTCTCCATCGGTTCTTGCGCCAACATCGACGAGATGCTCATCGAATGCAGCGGACCTTGCTCCTTCAGAATGTACATGGCTAATAGAGGAGACAAGTACGGGTTGAAGATGCAATGTCTGACGGACGCCAGAAACAATTACGCTTACAACGTTTACTTGTATACGGGAAAAGGAAGCGACGGCTTCGGTTTGAACGCCGACGAGAAACTTTACAGCGCTCCGACCCAAGCTGCCATACGGCTCTGCAAACCAATCATAGGAACAGACATAAACGTCACAACGGATACGTGGTATACATCAATGGAACTTGTCGAAGTGTTAAAGGTGTATGGATTAACGTGCGTTGGTACTTTGAAAAAGCACAGCCCGGACATACCGACGCAATTCCTACCATCGAGGAGCAGATCCGTAGGTTCAGCAATATATTCAGCGAACAAGGACACCGTGATCGTTTCGCACGTCCCGAAGAAGGGAAAATCCGTGATCCTGCTCTCGTCCATGCATCGCTCAGAAAAGGAAGACGACAAACCGGAGCACGTCTTATCCTACTACAACGCGACAAAATCGGGCGTGAAAAACTTGGACGGTAAATGCGCCGCCTACTCCTGCAGCCGAAGAACGAGACGGTGGTCCATGGCCGTCTTCTTCAAGATCATCGATATGAGCGCGGTGAACGCTCACATCATCCATCAGAGCTACGTGGAGAACAGGCAGAGCACCAGAGTGGACTTCATGAGGACGCTTGCCAAGCAGCTGGTGACACCGTACATGGAGACACGAATGACCAATCCGAATTTACCCCGCGAACTTCGCACAACTATACAACGAATACTTGGCGTGACCATCGAAATGAGGGACGTCGATCTGGATAAGTTGCCCAGGGAGGAGCGCAAGATATGCTTCGTTTGTCCTGCGAAGAAGAGGCGGAAGACCTGTTACCTCTGCTGCAACTGCAAGAGGCCAGTCTGCTTGGAATGCAGCAGGAAGATTTGCCTGAACTGTACCATGGTTGATGAGGATCTTTAAACGAAACCCGAGCGTACAAAACTTCGTGCTATTTTTTATATAACAAACAATTTTTCGATGTTTTATATAAATATATATATATATACTATGTGTCAAATAATTAATAATATATTTTATTAATTTATCGATGTTTCATAAATGTGAACTGAATGTTATGAAGAATTAATAAATTATTTCAATTTCTTCAATAAAAACTTATTTAAAAATGAATCTCTAGACAATTTTTAAAACCCAATATATTAAAATATTCATTCCCTTCAGTAGACTTGGAGAATCTTCAATCTGGTTAATTTGTAGTTACTATAATTGTCATTTTATTAAATAGATTCATTTGAATTATTGTAATAAAACATTAAAGTCTCATATTATTGAAAATTTATCATACTAATCAGAACTTTAATAATGTTCGTAGTTGCGTTATATGCAACCAAACATACACATTAAACCTAAGCTATCACAACAAATAGCAATGTAAAAGAAATATCCGAAGTGATGTGAGGTTTGTTTTGTAATTTTATTGTTGATGCACGAGTATAAGAATATTTGGATACCAACAACATCTAGAAATGTCTCAAGTTCCATAGAAGATGAAGAGTAAAAACTGTCTCAGCTTGAAAGCATTACTTCTTGTTATGACAAAGTCTTTGAATAGTTCAAACAAACTGATAATGATTTAGGTTTATTGAATGATTTTATTAATAGTAATCATAATCATATAATACTATAGCTTTTTAGATGAAGATTTGAAGAATCTGAATGAGATCAATAGTGAACTTAAAGATAAGCTTGAAGCAAATGGATTAAACGATTTGTCGGATCTTCGAACGAAAATTGCCGAGGATCTTAACACTTTCGGATTGTTGCAAGAGAAACGCGACTACAATATGAATAAAATCACTAAATTGGATAAAGGCAATATTGAAATTAAGCGAGAAGTAAATATTGATAACTTAGTTTAATGCAAAATGTTAATTTTCAATTCATGAATAGGTGGAATCTTCAATCTTCAAAAGTAACAACTATATACTAGATTTGGGTTTGGAGCCGGAGGAGGTCAATGAATTGATGGCTCCTACTACAGGATTTGGAAGACCCAATGTTGTTGACGTAATTAATAGTCACGCAATTATAATCTTCAATTTAAAACATGGAGAATTTTAGGATTTTAAAAACTTCTTAGGAAAAATGGACTAAACTCATGCAACATTCTGAAACGGAACGAATCGAAATTGCTAAATTGGATGTGGAGAATAATCAGATGGAGTTGAAGCTTGAGATGCGTCAAAGTTATCTGAGATTGCTCGACGATAAAGAGAGCAAGATCCTAAAGAAGATTTTGACTATGGTTAAGAAGTACGAAGGCATCCAGAAAAGCCTGGAGGAAATTAGTCTTTGCAAAGATAACGTAGAAAAAGTTAAATTAATGTAAATTACTGCGATTACGTACCAATCTTATATTATTAGTTGTTATTTTTTAGATATAAAGAATTAGTTTAAAAAAAACGAACTGCGTGTGAAAGAATTCTAAGAACATTCCGAAATGATATTAGATAATATAAAGGAAATGAGTGTAAGTTATCAAAACAAGCCACGAAGTACCTAATTCAATACATAATAGAAGGAAGTCGTAAAGAGTTACACGAAACGAATCCAAGGAGATTTAAAAGCATTTGAAGTATTAACCAAATGTATATAGAAATTAATTAACAAATTATATTACATCCTTTATACTGGTGTAGTTCTAGTGTCTGGTGAGGAACTTCTGGAACTTCTTCCTATTCCATTCCGCGAAGGACGGGATAAATTATCTGATCCTGTGTCTAGTTATACAACAAAACATGAAGTCATTGGATTATCTGAGATTATCTAAACATTTCCAGACGTTTTTTTTTTAAATATTTCTGACGTTTTCGCTGCCAGAAAAATGGATATATTGAAGGTGCGAAATTTGCACGCGTCCATCAGCGAATTTGAATACGTTTCAGTTTAGATTTTGCTCTGTTTAAGCGTCGTGACGTGTCCGACAGTGGCGAAATTACGAGACGGCGAAAGGCGTAGAAGGCGAGATGACGGCACGGAAGTTACGGTGACCTCGACCGTGGACGATTCCCTTTCTTCGCTCCGATTAAAATATCCAAGATTGTTCAAGATCGATGACGGCGAGACGAGGAGAAAGTTGCAGAGGATTCTGCGGCCTCTGCAGCAGCAGCAGCAGCTGAAGAAGAAAGAGGAGGGCAGAAGGCGTGGCACAAACAATAATAACAACAACAACAACATCGATAATGATGATGAAGGAGAGAAAGACGTTGATGATCCACCATTCGAATTCGATCTAGGCGATAATGGTAGATAAAACAAACATAATTTAACATTCACTAATTTAAATATATATATATTTTGCGTCGATCAGTGAAAGTGCCGGTTCACGTCCCAAAACAGTAAACCGGTTTCCAAAAGATCTCCAATGTTCTGCTACTTCCACTCCAACAGAATCAAGTAAAAGCAACAACAAGAACAAAAAATCGATCAAACTCACACTGGAAATCGGTTAATTGCTGATTTGTCATTAACTTCATCGTTATCCATTCTTTGATGCGTAAATTAAAGTTAAAACTATAAGCAATAAAGTTATTGCATTAATTTTTAAAAAAATGTATTTTATTGTGTATAAAAAAGATTATTGTATGTACAGAAGGAATTAACTAAAGTAATCAGGTAACTAGTCTACCATTTCCATTGTGAAGCGTAGGTGTTGTAGCCTTGATTGGCGTACATGCCGCCCACTTTGCTGGGAACGTAACCGTTGATGTGTCCTGATTGGCCGTACTGAGAGAAAGTCTTCTGGAAGCCGACGCCTGCATCTTGGAAGTTTCCGCCTCCGATGGTAAACTTTCCGGTCTGCACCTTTTGGAAGTTGATTTGTTGGGTGTTGGCATCATCGTCGTGAGCGTTGTCGTAACCTTCGCCGAAACCGGCCTGGAACTTCGATCCTTGCACATTTCCGAAACTGGTAGAGCTTCCCTGGCTCTGCTGGAACTGAGCATTTTGCGCAGCCACTATTTGACTGTGGGCATTCTGGACTTGAGCTTGGAATTGTCCACTACCTCCGATTTGATTTTGCGATTGAAAATCGCCGCCCTGGATGTTTCCGATTTGGTTTTGAGCGTGGAATTGGATTCCTCCCAAGTTTGAGTTTTCTTGAGCGTGGAATTCTACGCCTTTGGCAGCTCCGTATTGTTCTTGAGCATGGAAATCACCGCCTTGGAATTGAGTTTGGCTTTGGGCGGCTCCTACACTTGCGCTCTCGTGACTTTGGACAGCTCCGAATTGTTGTTGGGCATGAAAATCACCACCGAATTGATTTTGGGATTGGAATTGAGCGGCTTGGATTCCTCCTGAAGCGGAACTCTCTTGACTTTGGAATTCGGCGCCTTGGGCGGTTCCGTATTGTTGTTGGGCATGGAAATCACCACCTTGAACGCCTACAAATTTCTGTTGGGTTTGTAATTGAACGTTTTGGATTCCTTCTAGACCAGAGCTTCCTTGACTTTGGAATTCAACGGTTTGGGCATTGAAATCACCTCCTTGCACACCTCCGTATTGACTTTGGGTTTCGTACTTTTCGCTTTGGATTCCTCCTACACTTGCGCCTCCTTGACTTTGGAAATCACCACCTTGGACACCTCCGAATTGTTGTTGGGCATGAAAATCATTAGTTTGAGCACCACCGAATTGAGTTTGGCTTTGGATTCCTTGATTTTGGAATTCGGCACCTTGGGCGGCTCCAAATTGTTGTTGGCTGTGAAAATCACCAGTTTGGACACCACCGAACTGAGTTTGGCTTTGGATTCCTTGATTTTGGAATTCGGCACTTTGGGCAGCTCCGAATTGTTGTTGGGTGTGAAAATCACCAGTTTGGGCTCCACCAAATTGAGTTTGGCTTTGGAAGTGAGCGCTTTGGATTCCTCCTAACCCTGAGCTTCCTTGATTTTGGAATTCGGCACCTTGGACACCTCCAAATTGTTGTTGGGCATGAAAATCATCAGTTTGAGCACCACCGAACTGAGTTTGGCTTTGGATTCCTTGATTTTGGAAATCGGCACCTTGGGCGGCTCCGAATTGTTGTTGGGCTTGGAAATTACTACCTTGGAATTGAGTTTCGGATTGGTAGACTTGTTGCGATCCAGTTTGGTGTTGGTTGTAATCGGTGGTCGTTTTCACTTGATTGTTGATCGGCACTAGGACCTTGACGTAGACAGGAGTGGGAATCTTGACTTGAACTTCTTTCACCACTTTGACGGGGTAAGGTTTAGAGATTGGTACGGGGACTTTGACTGGATGTGGTACCTTAACGTAGACGGGAACCCTGACTGGGACCTGCTGGGTGATCTTCACCGGGTACGGTTTCGGTACGTGCACCGGGACTTTTACTTGAACTGGGACCGGGTACGGTTTTGGGATGTGCACTGGGAAGGGTTGAGGAACTGGTACTTTCACCTCTTTGGTGACGGTCACTGGGTAGGGTTGCGGGATGTGCACCGGCTGCTCCTTGGTGATGGTGATGACTTGCTTGACGGTCTGAGTCTGGAGACCCACTGATGTTCCCAAGTCGATGGGAGCTTGAGGAATTCCGGATAATTCAAAACCTTGTCCGAACTGTTGTCCACCGAATTGACCGCTCGAGAATCCTCCTTGCTGTTGACCTCCAAATTGGGTCTGAATGCCGGCAGAAAATCCTGCTTGCTGTTGACCTCCGATCTCTTGGTGTCCACCGAATTGAGCTTGAACGCCTTCAGATAATCCTCCTTGCTGTTGACCAACAATTTCTTGATGTACACCGTATTGTACTTGAGCACCTCCAGAAACTCCTCCTTGCTGTTGCCCACCATACTGAGCTTGTTCTTGAACACCTCCTTGCTGTTGATAACTTTCAACTACTTGGTGTCCACCGTACTGAGTATGAGCACCTCCAGAAACTCCTTGCTGTTGCCCACCATACTGAGCTTGTTCTTGAACACCTCCTTGCTGATGACCAACAACCTCTTGGTGTCCACTGGAGGTGTACTTTCCAGATCCAACCTGCTGCACTTCGGCCTCTTTATTCAAGATCCTCTGGTACCTGACCGGCGCCGGTCCTCCAACTTCGAAGTGCTTCTGCACTTGCACTCCGTGTCCTGATCCATGCGAAAGTCCTGCGGAGAGCGAAAGAGACTTCTGGAGCAGCCTCAAACCGGTGCCTTGGACTCCGCACGCCGCAACGGCCAACAGAACGATCTGCACAAAAAATAATACAATTTAATAATCATAAATCCAAAGAAAAAAAACCCGAATCTTACCACAAAGATTTTCATCTTGTTGCGCCGATGAGTCTCGAGCGAATGATGCCGTCAGGGGAACGCGCCCACCAATTTATACGCGCCGTAATCTCGAATACGAGAAGAAGTCAAAAAAAGAATGAAAAAAAAATACACGGAGGATTAATAAATACAAAAATTTCTCCTTGTCACCTTTACCATCAATTTATTAGAATGCTATATAATTCTCAATAAAAAAAAAATTATAAATAAGTAAAAAGTAATTTTTGGAAGAGGCTGCAGAAGCGCAAAATCTGAAGAAACGAAAGAGAATTTTATCTAAACGAAAGTCAAAAAATTCATGTACCTCTCACTCGAAATGAGTCTGCGATAATTATTAAATTTCATCATAATACGCAATAATTGCTTTAC